TGCCCCCGCGTTCCCGCCTGCTCGGCATTTGTTATGGGAGCGCAACACACAGAACGCCTAGCTCGTCCCGATCTCGCCCCTTGTTGATCCAGACCATCTAGCGCAGGGGTATTAGTAGTGGTTGTACTATTTGTAGTATTGTTAGAAGTAATAGTACCGCGCGAAATAATACTTCCGCCGTCCAATGCTCACGCAGGCAGGTGCACGACGGAAGTCGTCCTTCGCCTCTAGCTGACTATCCTGGGGGCAACACTATAATTATTAAAAAAATTAAAACCTAAGCGAGTTTTACTGTGCAGACGGTGTGGACCACAACGTGAATGTCGCTCGTGACCATCGAAAGGACGAAGTGATACTAGGATTTATTGCCAATACAAGCGTACGTGCAAGTCCCATAAACCTAGGAGGGTTTATCTAGTTACTAACAGTCCATCAACGTTTACCTAAACTCTGAAGGATATATTTAGCCGATTTTGAATTACGACCTCCAGAATAACTCAAGGAGAGGATGGTTTATTAGGGATCAAATAAATAAGTAAACAAAGAATCAATATACGTTGGATACAATGTGAATCACTGGGGAAGAATTATGTCCTACTGTTTATATGTACTGACTGCATAGAATCAAAAATAAGTAATCATACAGGATCTGCAGGTGTCAAGACGGATGAAGGGAAAACTAAAATCAAACTGTAAAACGAGGAAATCACAGTATGTACATGGATCTCACAACAGCACAGGTACCAGACAGGAAGGACGAAGATAAGACAGAGGCGAGGGTGGGGCGATGTGGAGGTTAAAGGACGGTCGAAGAAGTGGAGTATCGCGGATCATCAGTCCTGGGAGGTTCCACCGGTGCAGCAGAATAAACGACGCAGTAGTCTATATGCCCTCAGTCTCCACTTGTGCCGTAGCTAAAAGGGAGGAGGACTGGAATCAGGCAAGGGAAGTCTGGTGCCCCAAAAAAATGTTTGGCACGAAATAACCTACCCTTTCAGTGGGCAGAGGTGGCACTTGCGGCAGCACCTTCGTCATTGCAACTTCTTCTAGAACTGAATAAGAAATAAGTATTCGATAAGTGAAGTACTGCCGATACGGATCCAATCTGATAAAAAAAATGCACTAATAATTGGCAACATGAGTCTTGTCAATGCGATCTTACCTGGCGCACGAATCTTAACGTCGAAACCGGCCGCCTCCAGATTTTCCAAAGCAACCTGTTGAGTGTTCGATTTCGAACACTCAACAGGATGAATTGCCACGTTTTGGTCATCAACGCAGATGGCCACTTCCGATTGTATAGAATTGGAAGTGGCCACCTGCGGTTGAAGAACGGAATCCTCTAGAGACGGCGTTGTTTGAACAGCCGTTTCCTCCAGGACTGTTGGCGGCCACGGCCAATCAAAAATTG